TAACGTTGTGCGTCATGTGCGGACACACACGGGGGACAGGCCGTATTCCTGCTCTATATGCGGGAAAAGTTTCACACAGAAGTCCATTCTTCTCAACCACCAGAAGGTCCACACAGGGGACCGACCTTTCCCGTGCCCTGACTGTGGGAAATGCTTTGCTAAGAGCTCGGATGTTGTCAGGACATAGAAGGGTTCACACCGGTGAGAGGCCCTACTTGTGCCTGGAGTGCGGGAAATCCTTCACGCAGAAATTCAGACTGAGAAACCATCAGCACTTCCATAATGAGGATAAGTTGCCTTTGCGGGGCTTAGCTGATAAATCCAATCAGTTTAGATGACACAGAAATTAACACTTCGAAAAAATCCCGTTTTTATACCCTTAATGTGGAAGCCAGCACTGAATAACCCTGCTCCAGGGGCGGACTAACAACTCATGGGGCCCCCGGGCAATAGGTGATCATGGGGCCCCTGTGTCCTTGCCCAAACTCAAAAAAGCCTATGAAAAAGGTACCAGGGACATCTCATGGGGCCCCCTACTGACCACGGGCCCTCGGGCAGTGCCCGAGTTTCCAGATGGTCAGTCCACCCCTGCCCTGCTCTGTAATAAATTCCCATTTTTTTTACACACCAACTGAAATCTTGGAGCAGGTGGAAGTGCCTACACTGGCTACAGGAAAGAGGTAGAGAGCAGAAGAAATATAAGAACCCAACAGGTTGAGATGATTTGGATGAGGGGATAGAAACCAGGATTTATGAGGATGTAGCTCTGACAGTCTCACGTATTTATTCACTGAACAAGTTTTCAGAGCTGCAAACAGATGAGGCGTGTTAGGAAGCCTAAGTCTGACCAAGAAATAATTATGGACCCACAAAATGGGAGTTTCAATCTGTAAAGCACAGAAGATACACAGAACCAAGAAAAATGTTGGAAAATTTAGGATTTTGTTTCCCTTCTTCCGAAAATGGTGTATTATAATTATTATTATTATTATTATTATTATTATTAATAATAATAATTTTTTAAATTTTTATAAAATAAAGTTCAGGTTTGCCATGGTGTGTATGATGTTATTTGTATATAATATATGTATGTTTAGACACACCTTTTCTGACACTTTGTAAAAAATGTTTTTTTGCTAGAAAATTACTTAACCCCCTAAACATTATTTGTTTTTTTTTTTTTTCATATATATATATATATATATATATATATATATATACAGTGGGGATCGAAAGTTTGGGCACCCCAGCTAAAAATTTGTATTAATGTGCATAAAGAAGCCAAGAAAAGATGGAAAAATCTCCAAAAGGCATCAAATTACAGATTAGACATTCTTATAATATGTCAACAAAAGTTAGATTTTATTTCCATCATTTACACTTTCAAAATAACAGAAAACAAAACAATGGCGTCTGCAAATGTTTGGGCACCCTGCAGAATTTATAGCATGCACTGCCCCCTTTGCCAAGCTGAGACCTGCCAGTGTCATGGATTGTTCTCAATCATCGTCTGGGAAGACCAGGTGATGTCAATCTCAAAGGTTTTAAATGCCCAGACTCATCTGACCTTACCCCAACAATCAGCACCATGGGTTCTTCTAAGCAGTTGTCTAGAAAACTGAAACTGAAAATAGTTGACGCTCACAAAGCTGGAGAAGGCTATAAGAAGATAGCAAAGCGTTTTCAGATGTCAATATCCTCTGTTCGGAATGTAGTTAAGAAATGGCAGTCATCAGGAACAGTGGAAGTTAAAGCAAGATCTGGAAGACCAAGAAAAATATCAGACAGAACAGCTCGCAGGATTGTGAGAAAAACAATTCAAAACCCACGTTTGACTGCACGATTCCTCTGGAAAGATCTGGCAGACACTGGAGTTGTGGTACACTATTCCACTATAAAGAGATACTTGTACAAATATGGTCTTCATGGAAGAGTCATCAGAAGAAAACCTCTTCTACATCCTCACCACAAAAATCATCATTTGAACTTTGCAAATGAACATATAGACAAGCCTGATGCATTTTGGAAACAAGTTCTGTGGACCGATGAGGGTAAAATTGAACTTTTTGGCCGGAATGAGCAAAGGTACGTTTGGAGAAGAAGGGGCACAGAATTTAATGAAAAGAACCTCTGTCCAACTGTTAAGCATGGGGTTGGATCAATCATGCTTTGGGGTTGTGTTGCAGCCAGTGGCACAGGGAACATCTCACGAGTAGAAGGAAAAATGGATTCAATGAAGTTAAAAATTTCAGCAAATTTTGGATGGTAACTTGATGCCATCTGTGAAAAAGCTGAAGACCTTTAAAGAGAGGATGGCTTCTACAAATGGATAATGATCCTATATATATATTTTTTTTTTTTATTTTGAAAAAAAGATTATATAAAGCATCCATATTATAAGGCCCCCCTTTTTGGAGAATGCAAAATGACTGGGGTGTGTTGCAATTTTTATGTAAAGCAGAGGCCCCCACACGATTTTTATGCACTGCAGTATTTCAAAGGTAATTTTTGGGGAAAAAAACACTTTTCTGGATTTTAATGCACAAAAAACACAATATAATACCCAATTGTTTGGTAAAATGTAATCATGTTACGCCAAGTAAATAGATACCAAACATGTCACACCCTAAAATTCCACGCCAAAACGTTCATTGAAGGCCGACCTCACCACCAGTCGGAAACTCTGCCACCAGCCTTGTTTCTCCACTTTTTTTTCGTCATACCAATACAAACAAAAGAAATAAACATGAGAATGCTGAAACATTTGTAATTGCAACAATTTTTCTGGGCGAAGTGGTGCATTATCTGGCAAAAATGTAAGGGTGCCAATATTTTTGGCCATGACTGTATGTATGATTTGTTTTTAGTGAAAGTGGAGCCTTTCCTTTGGCATACTCTATGTCACAGGTGTCAAATACAAGGCCCGTGTGCTGAATCTGGCCTTCCAGGCCATTTCATGTGGCCGTTGCATCTTTTCTGCAGGTACCCCTTGTCTTCACCCCACACCTTGTCTCAGCAGTCGGCAGCAGAGACGAGAAGAGAACTGCTTTGCCAAATCCTGCATCTCCTCATCCCCGCCTCCCCTGCTCTCAGCATTCAGCAGACTTCGGTAACTGACTCCTCTTCTGGTCCTTCTCCAGACCCTGCACTTTCTGCTTTTCAACTCTGCCCCCAAAGGGGGTGCATGGTGATGTTAGGGAGGGTGTGGGATTCTTGACATCTGATGTAATGGGGGGTGGGGTGCTCTAGACATCTACTTTTACAGATACAACCGGCCCTTTGAGGGCAACCATAATGCTGATATGGCCCGCCATGAAATGGAGTTTGACACCCCTGCTCTATGTCTCACAATGCATTCTCTTTCTTCCACTATTGGTTGTGTTAGTGTTAGCCACACCTCCAAACTAAGTACTGAGGGCCTAAGCCAATGTGTTCAATACAGAGCAAAAAAAAATCCAACAGGTCCACTTCAGGTGTCTGCTGCATCAAATGTAAATAATGTCGATTTTAGAAGCGGTAACTAAAAAAAATACTAGAATGTGATTTATTAGTTACAATAAAAAATATTTAAACTGGAGAATATTAATCTTTATGTAGCAAGAAGGAATAAATACAAATCCTCTCCAAGGAGGAGATTTATGTACAAGCAGTATTACAGTCATTTTCATTATTACATTAACACTGCCTATAGTTTGCCTTTTTTACGACTAACTAAAATCCTTCATAGGTCCTGATCATTGCCTGTTTGTCATTCCTCTGCATTTTTAGTTCCTTCTATGTAAAAAAAATGGTCTTAAGTCTAACATGCTGGCCTGGAGACCTCACCATCAGGGTCTATGTGAAAGTCATCCACCTCCATCCTTTACCACGGCCTGAATTGCCAGTTGCCTTCTCAAAGCTCTGAGGAACATCAGTGGTGAGATCTTCTATAGACAGATGATGAGACTTCACCATCGAAGTCACTCAAAGTCCCTCACGACCAAGTCTAAATGTGTCAGTCATAGACTCATTCTGAAATGATGTGAAAAACTGCAAAAGATATGTAACGCAAATTAAAACCGAGATGAATGTTGTTGGCCTGAATTGCCAATTGCCTTCCCAAAGCTCTGAGGAACATCAGTGGTGAGATCTTCTAAAGACAGATGTTGAGACTTCACCATCGAAGTCACTCAAAGTCCCTCACGACCAAGTCTAAATGTGTATTGACACATTTAGACTTGGTCTAAAATGGGACAAACACAGGAGGAATGACATAGACTCATTCTGAAATGACGTGCAAAACTGCAAAAGATACATAACGCCACTTAAAACCGAGATGAATGTTGTTGACCTGAATTGCCGGTTGCCTTCTCAAAGCTCTGAGGAACATCAGTGGTGAGATCTTCTAAAGACAGATGTTGAGACTTCACCATCAAAGTCACTCAAAGTCCCTCACGACCAAGTCTAAATGTGTCAATCATAGACTCATTCTGAAATGATGTGCAAAAGTGCAAAAGATACGTAACACCACTTAAAACCGAGATGAATGTTGTTGGCCTGAATTGCCAGTTGCCTTCCCAAAGCTCTGAGGAACATCGGTGGTGATATCTTCTAAAGACAGATGTTGAGACTTCACTATCGAAGTCCACGAGAAAGGTCATTTAATATTTTCTGTAACCTTTAAGCCGTCCCCCTCCATACTTTACCACACTTAAAAGTCACTCATGACCAGAATCACATATTTTTTGATGGCTTGAAAGTTTCATGATGATCAGTTGAATACTTCTGCTACCAAATGCTTGGGAATGTGTGCAACAGACAGATTCCTTTGCTTGCCAACCTGATGGAAAAAGGCAAACTGGAGGGGTGTTTTTTACAGTGAGTGAAGACATGAATACTTGCGCCCTGCAGGAATTGGCACCATTATCTTTTAATGAGCAAGAGAGGGCTTGAGTTCTCTATGAGCAGAGTAGACAAGCCCTTTATGTGGACTGAACCTTTAAGCTCCCTCAGAAAAACAGTCAAGTCTTCCCACCAGCGTGAACTCTCTGATGATAGAGAAGGTTGGCTTTCTGCGCAAAACATTTGCCGCAGTCCCGGCATTTAAAGGGTTTTTCCCCCGTGTGGGTTCGGTTGTGTATGACCAGGTGAGACTTGTGCTTGAAGAACTTCCCGCACAGAGGACAGGAGAAGGGTTTCTCTCCCGTGTGAATTCGCTGGTGCTCGGCGAGGTGCGACTTGCGGGCAAAACACTTCCCACACTCCGAGCAGGCGAAAGGCTTCAGCCCCTTGTGGATCTTCATGTGCCGGATTCGGTTGGAAATGTGGGTGAAACCTTTGCCGCATTCGGAACACGGGTAGATTTTGTCGTTTGCCCGTGTGCGTGTAATGATTTGATCTGGAAGCCATTCTGGGTCGGAGGGGTAAGGTGAGATACTCGCCCCTCGAAGTCCTGGATGTAGACCTGGAATAACAGAGTTGTCTTCTTGAGAAGATTGCACAGTGTCCACATCTTCTGCCTTCAAATAGGTCAACACCATCGGTGGAACATCTGGGGACATTTGGTTGTAGTGTCCATCTGGGGAGGGTAAAAAAAATATTCTTAACCTCAAAACATGACTTTTTGTCTTATGCTTTTCAATTATTAGTGTGTGCAGCACTTTACTATATAACAGAAAATAGTACAGTTACAATAAAATTCAAGAATAGACGGTTAGAAGGGCCCTGCTTGCGAGAACTTTCAACCTAAAAGTTGGGCAATTGATACAAAAAGATAACAACTATAGAGTGATGAGTTGATGGAGAAAGTAAAAGTTTAGGGTGAGGCAAAATAGGCTTCCCTGAGTTTTTATTGATTGCCCAAAGGTGACAGAGTCGGAGATAGCTAGAGAGATTGGGGTAGAGAGTTCCAGAAGATGGGAGCGGCTCTGCAGAAATCCTGGAGTTCAGCACGGGAGGAGTTGATGAGGAGATAAGAGAGCAGCAGGTCTTGGGAAAAGCAGAGATCTGTATGGGTGATATTTTGAGATGAGGTGGTGATGGAGCTTGGGGCATAGTTGTAGTTGAAAGGCACCTCTTTGGAACAAGCGATGATCACGATCAAAAAACAAAATGAGAATTTAGGAAGTTTTTTTTTTTCATTTTTGAGAGTACACAGGTACTGCTCACCTGGGGTGATAAATGTTGAGCTGTCCTCCTCCAAACATGGCCGTTCACCCTTCAAATACAAATCGTCTTCAGCCTCTACAATTTCTACTTTGATACCAACCAGGTCCTCAACCTACATAATGGTGCAAAGTTTAATGGATCAAAAAGAAGAAGTTTATAGCAAACACACCACTTCTCTTACAAGTTGAGTCCTTCACACACAGACTCGATGGACCACTTGGCCCATTTTTCTGCTGTCCCTTTTCTGTGAGTCACTATGGTCTTTGGTGAGACCCTCATTATCTACCTGATAATGGTGGTTGATGGTGTGATCTTCCTGTGTGTAATCCCGGGAATACAGAGGACGGGGACATCTCTCTGGTGGGTTCTTGCTAATGGAACCATCTGTAGGAAATACACACACATTGACTGAACATGTATTGTATATATGCTACTGATGGGTGGGAAGACTTCTATAGTTGCTTCGAATAAAGGCTAATAAAGGCTTGTCTTACCCGTTGATGTGAAAGTCTGATGATTCTCCTTCTTGATGTCCTTGTATGGATCCTTGTGTTCCTCTACGTGATTCCAGTCCTACACAGAGAACAAGTACTTGGACCTAAAAGTCAAACTGTGACACAATTGTTTTTTTCTAGTTTTGGACAGTTTGTGGATGGGATAGACCCTCTGTCATATTTTGGCAGTAGGGAAGTCTACCTTTTTAATTTTTCCAGGTGACCGAGGTCACAAGGACAGATATTGAGGGGAAATCCAAAATGTTATGGTTTTCACTGAAACATGAGTAGAAGAGATATTGTCCAACGGGAGCACCATTTTCCGGGGACAACTCTTGGGGAGATTTCCACTCCTTTTTGATCATGTCTCTTGGACAGGAACAGAAGGGAAACCTCCCAGACGATGACAAAGACAGGTACTAACCCTTCCCCACTAGTAGTGGTTCCTTTTCAGAACTACTCTAATGAAGGCCTGTAGTTACACTCTCCATAAAAACACATTTTTGTAAGGCTGATTAAGGGTACAGCTCCAATGGAAACAAACTGACAGCTCCCACGCAAGGCAACATCAGGAAAAGATCCCCTCTTTGAACCTTAGAAGAAGAGGCAAGGAAAAATGATTTTACAAAGACGAAACATCAGCCATCAGAGGTCCACTATTAAGTTATCAAGAAGTCTTCTTCGCTGGTTGCAACTCTGGTGTGGTATAAAGAGATAATGCCATGGGTGTAGCCACTCCGTAGCCAAATGTCCATCAGCTGGGAAGTGAGCACCAAAAGGAACAGAAACATTATGTTCCAGCTACAGATTGCCTACAGATACACCTTGCTTGTTACTGATAAATACCTTGTACAGGGGCGGACTGACAACTTATGGGGCCCCCGGGAAATAGGGGATCATGGGGCCCCTGTATCCTTGCCCAAACTCAAAAAAGCCTATGAAAAAGGTACCAGGGGCATCTCATGGGGCCCCCTACTGACCCCGGGCCCTCGGGCAGTGCCCGAGTTTCCAAATGGTCAGTCCACCCCTGGCCCTGTAATTCCCAGGACCGCTTACTCTCTCTCGTCAGCAACTCAATGATCTCGCTGGTGGCTTCCAGAATCTTTTTGATGTTAGCTTTTCCCATCCTGCTCATCACACTTGAATGATTGTTCAGAGTGAAATGCTCTCCGGTTGTCTTCTTTACTAATGTGTAATCCTGTACATTGAAACAATATCAAACTGATATATATAAACTGCGACCCTCCCAGAATCCTCCTCACCTCTCCGGTCAGATCTGTGTTTTATTAATAGAGATAAGATGGATATCATGTGACCTCCCAGAATCCTCCTCACCTCTCCAATCAGGTCTCTGTTCTATTAATACAGACACGAGTGATGTCATGTGACTGCCCAGAATCCTCCTCACCTCTCCGGTCAGGTCTGTGTTTTATTAATAGAGATAGGAGTGATGACATGTGACCTCCCAGAATCCTCCTCACCTCTCAGGTCAGGTCTGTTTTATTAATACAGACAAGAGTGATGCCATGTGACCTCCCAGAATCCCCCTCACCTCTCCGGTCAGGTCTGTATTTTATTAATAGAGATGGGAGTGATGTCATGTGACCTCCCACAATCCCCCTCACCTCTCCGGTTAGCAGGTAGATGATCTCCAGGGTGAGATTTAATAATCTCCCAGTCATGTGGTTTCCATCCTTCTCCATCATGGAGTCCCTGAATAATAAAAACACATCATCAACATCATCTAGAACATACAGTGAGGAACAGAAGTATTTGAACACCCTGCGATTTTGCAAGTTCTCCCACTTAGAAATCATGGAGGGGTCTGAAATTCACATTGTAGGTGCATTCCCACTCAGAGACAGAATTTAAAAAAAAATTTAGGAAATCACATTGTATGATTTTTAAATAATGTATTTGTCTTGCACTGCTGAACATAAGTATTTGAACACCTAAGAAACAGCAAGAATTCTGGCTCTCAAAGAACTTTTACTGTGCCTTTAAAAAGTCCACCTCTGCTCCACTCATTAATCTAACTTAGTAGTACCTGTCTGAGCTCTTTAAAGACACCTGTCCACCCCACAGTCATTCAGACGCCAACTACTACCATGGGCAAGACCAAAGAGCTGTCAAAGACACCAGAGACAAAGTTGTGGACCTCCACAAGGCTGGAAAGGGCTACGGGGCAATTGCCAAGCAGCTTGGTGAAAATAGATCAACTGTTGAAGCAATTGTTAGAAAATAGAAGATGCTAAAGATGACTGTCAGTCTCCCACGGACTGGAGCTCCATGCAAGATCTCACCTCGTGGGGTATCACTGATGATAAGAAAGGTGAGGAATCAGCCCAGAACTACAAGGGAGGAGCTGGTCAATGACATGAAGAGAGCTGGGACCACAGTTTCAAAGGTCACTGTCGGTAGAACACTACGCCGTCATGGTTTCAAATCATGCATTGCACGGAAGGTTCCCTGCTCAAGTCATCACATGTCCAGACCCGTCTGAAGTTTGCCAATGACCATCTGGATGATCCAGAGGAGGCATGGGAGAAAGTCATGTGTTTAGATGAGACCAAAGTAGAACCTTTTGGTCTAAACTTCACTCGTCATGTTTGGAGGAAACAGAAGGATGAGTTGCATCCCAAGAACACCATCCCTACTGTGAAGCATGGGGGTGTAACATCATGCTTTGGGGGTGCTTTTCTGCAAAGGGGACAGGACGACTGTACTGTATTAAGGAGTGGATGAATTGGGCCATTTATTGTGAGATTTTGAGCAACAACCTCCTTCCCTCAGTCAGAGCACTGAAGATGGGTCGTGGCTGGGTCTTCCAACATGACAACGACCCAAAGCACACAGCCAAGATAACCAAGGAGTGGCTCCGTAAGAAGCATATCAAGGTGCTGGAGTGGCCTAGCCAATCTTAAGACCTAAATCCAATAGAACATCTTTGGAGGGAGCTGAAACGCTGTGTTGCTCAGCGACAGCCCCGAAACCTGACAGATCTAGAGGAGATGTGTGTGGAGGAATGGGCCAAAATCTCTGTTGAAGTGTGACCTGGTCAAGAACTACAGGAAACTTTTGACCTCTGTAATTGCAAACAAAGGCTTCTGTACCAAATATTAACACTGATTTTCTCAGGTGATCAAATACTTGTGTTCAGCAGTGCAAGACAAATAAATTATTTAAAAATCATACAATGAGTTTTCCTGATTTTTTTTTTTATTCTGTCTCTCAGAGTGGGAATGCACCTACAATGTGAATTTCAGACCGCTCCATGATTTCTAAGTGGGAGAACTTGCAAAATCGTAGGGTGTTCAAATACTTCTGTTCCTCACTGTATTTCATTGTTGTACTGCTGCTGGCATGTTAAACACCTGAGCCGCCATCTCATAATCTCATATCTCTTATGGAGCCCAGTTGCCTTTGTGCAGCAATCCAGTTATTGATGAAGCATGTGCTAATCTTGAGATTTTATGGCATTGCTCCCTTATGTCAGATGTGTACCATGAAGATCTCATGGCCACATTTATACAAGTACAAGTAAAGTATGGTCTACCTCGCTCCTTCTTTTACATATTTATGCATCTCTGTCATGGGTTTGAGTCACACAATTTAGAAATTAGCATAGGTCTGTATTTAAAAACCCTCTTATAGGCACCTTCAAATCACAGGGCCATTAAGGGTTAGTCTGTACTTCATATACCCATCTATTACAAACCAAACTGGTAACTGGGCAAACTAATTGGCAAGTTCTTATGCCTACTTTGACAGACGAAGATTGGGATGATGTGTTCTTCTTCTATGTACTGTACAGTATGTATTGCCAGCAATCAATAACCGGCTGATTCTCTGGTATATTAATTATCAGACCTATCTATCCCCAGTCGGTCTAGAAAAAAAAATGGATGTATGAACAACCCTAACTGTATACTATTTTAGTTGTCCCTAAATGTGGTTAGGCACCCCCAGTTGGTTTGTTGGGCTAGCAGTTCATCTCAGGGCAGAATTGTTAACTTTTTTGTGGGGGATGAAATAATTGCATGCCTGTCACTTTAAATCAGTTGAACATAATTTATTAGGTAAAAAACCTAAGAGAGAGAGGGATTAGGGCATTGGATACCCCAAAAGACCAAAACACAGACTCTACAAAAAATCAATACAGAGTAAGAGAAGTACATGATCTCCCTGATCGAGCCACCAGAACTTCTTGCAATGGCCACCAGTCGTAGTTTCTATCCAGCTTCCCCCAGACACATTTCAGCAGGTAAAGCTTCAACCCTGGTGCTCCAATCTAGCTCTCAGCTTCACTCCTTCTAGACATAACCTCCTGCAAGGCAGTCCAACCTTCCTCGACTTCAGACTGATGCCTTCCTTCTCAAAGCACGTGTGTCCTCCCCAAGCAGCAGGTCTGAAGGGTAGAAAGTGGCTTTACACACCTACCCAGGCAAGGGCAACCCCGACTTTGCCCCACGACCAGATGATCAGCAATTTCTTTGCTTTAGAACTAGTGGGCATACTCATTTGACAGACTTTCTGACCTTCTACCGCGCTCTAATTACTACCGATCTCACCCGGCTGGTGGACCCTCCTTTGGGCTTCTGGGGAGGCCTCCAGCTTCGACCCTATATTTGCTCACTCTTGCTTTGCTGGCATTGCTCGCACACTAACGGCTTTCAAAGTCCTGTGCCACAAGGTTGAGCCAGTTTGGCACAGTCTCTCAATCATCTATTTATCTCTCATCCATCCAGAGACTGATTACTCTCCCCCTCTTTGTGGGAGTCAGATCTAGGTGTGTCCTTTACGGCACAACAGAAGGAGAAAATTCTACATTTTGCCCAAAAGTCCTCAATGGCCACCAAGGTCCAAGAGACCAACTATAAACTTCTCACTTGATGGTATCGGGTACCCACCAAGCTCCATCACATCTCGCCACAGTTTTCTAGTGCCTGTTGGCTCTGCGGGGAAAGACAGAGGTACCTTTCTCCAAATCTTTTGGCAATGCCAGAAGCACCAATCGTTCTGGCGAGAGGCAACTGGTATAATCAAACAACTTATAACCATGGACCTGCATGACGACCCAGCAGCCTGCCTCCGTCACTTGAAGGGGAGACCCATCAAGAAATATAAGACCTCTCTCACCATTCAGCTGCTTACTGCGACAAAGGCCTGTATCCCACTCCGCTGGAAGGAAGTTCACCCACCCAACACCTACCCAGGAGAGAACCTTTCCAGGTCAATTCTATATTCTCCCCCAGCATGCACCAGTGGCAAATATTCATAACTCAGGTTATTGGATCGTCTTACGCAAGAGATAGTCTCCAATAGCAGGCAGAAGCAAACATTGACTCCTTGCTTAGGAAAAACCTGAGGAAAGCAGAACTAACAATCAATGCTCAAGCTGACTACAGCCCAGCAGCACTAAATTTGGAATAAGGACATGGCATAGGGCAGGCTCCCTACACTATTTATCTAAGCTCAGTCTGATTTTACGCACCTTATCTAAAGTTGCCTAGTTATACCAGATTTTTGGAAGAAGGTGATTGCCTTCTTAGCTAATATTTTATGTTTTCCTATTTCATGTACACCTATAAGTTGCAATTTATTAGACGAACATTCACCACATTACATGACAATATATCTACAGGAAACATTGTCCATGGCCCGTAGCTATTAGATGGATGAACCCATAGCGCCCAGGAGGAAACTATTAGTAAACCACATCATTCCCTATAAGAAAGTTACGTACAGCAGGAGATATTGTCCTAAAGTCTGGGACCTATTGTGTGAATTTGCACTTTGAATTCGAGATAGAAAAACCCTGGCCTTCTCGTAGATATTTCCAAAGCCAACCCTAAGTTTTCCTTACAGCAGCCATTCTCAAACAGGGTTCCATGGAACCCTAGGGTTGGCAAAGGGTTCCTTGAGCTGTGGCTAACCAACCTCCCATTTGATGGTGCCCACATAGTTCCTGGTCCAACACCATTTGGCAGAGCCAGCGGCATGACTGCAAGCGTACTATTCTTTCCACTTACCACCACCAATGTAAGGGCGTTTTTTTCCAGTGACCCACACTGAACTAATCTTTAGTTTATTCAACTTTTGACATTCAACTAAAGACTGCGCTACTCTACGGGCCGTCTTATAGTGTGCACTGCATATTTTTAATTTGCAATTCACTGCAACCTTTATAACACAGCAATTATTACCGCTGAAAGTAATATTAATTAGAGTAATGATCATTATTACCTTGCTCGAGAGACTCTCAGTCCAGAAACTCAGCTTCTGCAGATTTGTCACAAAACGGGAAGCAGAGTGACTCCTGCAAGGGATTCTGGGAGTTCGAGTCCTGGGTAACTTTCTACTTTGACTGCAAAAATATGGCTGCAAGTCCCTTTCTGCCCCCCCAGACACTTGAACCTCTAGTGTTCGAAGTGGCCATTCAGCCCCTCCTGCAGTTCTGGCACATGTTGTCTCTAACTCCTTATTAATCTGCTCAAACAAAAGGGAATGAACTAAAAATGGAGTCCAGAAGAGTCAAACTTTAGCATCAAGCATCTCTCTTTAGATTGAAGTCACAACAACAAAATGGCTGCTGCCGCTCTTGAGGACAGGAAGTCAACTGGAAAACAGATGTCTGGTTGCAGGCAGAGGCGGGATGTTCCAGGGTGAAAGGTGAAGAGGCAGGAAGTAAAATGGAGCCATTGATGGTACTGGCAGCCAGTATTACATTCATAGCACAACATGAGAACTAAGGAGCCCTAAGCATTTGCAGATCCACATCAAAATACATAGTAAACATGAAGAAATGATCGGATGTTACATTCCCACTTTTCCTCTGTGGCAGCAAAAATTAAAAATGATCAATAAATAAATATATATTCAAACATGAATGATACATGCTTTTATGTATAAAAATCTAATTATATCTGGATGGGTAGCATTAGAAGTAAGAACAGATTTGTACCTTTCTGGCTTAGAATGCACTACATATTTAAAGGGACAATTCATATTTTCCCCCAAAAAATTAAAAAAATGCCTGTTCAGATAAGGGATGTCTGTAGGTAAAACCAAAAAAAGTTGAAAAATGCCTTTGCTATAGGTGTAGGCCATTTAAATACTTCATGAAGCCTGAGTGGAAAAAACTAGGACGTCGCTAAGGACATTGATAAGAAAGGAATAACTGTTACTATTCACTTTCACCATCATGGGAGTGAGCTCTTAAATGCTGAGATCAGAAATTCTCCAGGTCAGATAGAATTAGTCATGCACTAACCATAACCTCTCTTGAGCCATGCCCAGTGTCTTCCTTCCTTGTGTGGGAAGCTTACACCCTCCAGCAGCACAGAGCCTCCTCAGGTTCCATGATCGAGCC